TGAACAACTAACAGGTAACTCTTTGTTTTAAAGCCCACCCACACCCCACCCCAAAAAGGTTTTTCAAATTCTTAAAGAAAATTCTTTATAATCTTCAACAGTGAAACGAATCCATTCAATTTTAAGGCTTCCGTAATTTTTGATTTTTTTTTTTTTTTTTTTTGCTTTGTTTTTATTTTGTTCGGAATGGGGGTACGCTTTTTTTTTGAAGGACATAAAACATAGATAGTATTTACCACAACCTTAGATCTTTCCATACAAGTCTGTGAATCTTTGCTTGAGAATATGTAGGGGGTTAGAGGGGCATAACCCTGGAACCCCCCCTTTCAAAAATTGCTGGATCCGCCCCTGCTTTTTCCTTGGTAAAGCCCAATATGAAGAAGTGTGCATTTAGAGGCAAACACCTTAGTGCGGGTATTACTGTCTCATGACAGCATCTAGTTTAACTTTCAAATAGTTATGCTACATGCCATTAATATGTACAAAGTTTAAAATTTTCCCCTGTCATTCTAAATATTTCTTGTGATTGAGAAATATTCCAAGTGTTTGTCTCTGTTACTTATTATAAATTATATTTCAAAAGGTAGACATTGTTGTTTAGAAAATTAAGACAAATTCAAAAGCATGATGCGAACCCTTTCTAGCTCTTCTATCATATTCATGTCATCCTCCTCAAAGTCAGACTCATCTGAATTTTCTGCCACATATACATGTATGTCACCATGCTCACTGGTATCAAAGAAGTCTTCTTCAAATATGCCATCTTCGAACACCTAATAAAAATAAACACCTTAACAATAATGAATTGTTAACTTTTTAGTTTATAACAATATATCAGTTTTAAACTACATGTAAAAAATTGTTAAATACACTGTAAATGCGTAATGCATTTACCGGTAGTTGATAGCATAAATAATTTTCTTTACATAAGTAAAAGCATGCTTTATACAAATTCGTTATCAACATACTTTTTGGCAGCAAGATAGATCTCCTATGGCAACAACCCCCAAGGATGAACAGTAATCATTCACAGCCTGAGGGTGCTGTTTGCAGCACTTTGGATCGTAGTTCCTCACACAGAGCCCTCCACGGTCTGTAGAACGCCCAACTGCCACACCCATCTGACCTGCTTGGAAAATATTTTTGCAATCCACAACTACATTAGGTAAAGTTAGCCCTTGGGACTTATGAACAGTCATGGCAAAAGCCAGAGCAATAGGAAATTGTTTTCTTTGTGCTATTGTTGCACACTGTGCAGGGTCAAATACACTAAATGTAACCTTGTTTAGTTTAATTATTTTGTCTTCAAATTTCACAGTTGGACAATTGTCCTCTACCCTAGCACAGTCCCCTGTAGCCCATTAACTAGAGAGTCCGAGAGATTTCTAATCAGCATGACTGGGGCACCTTCTTTAAGTAAAAGAAGTTTATTTGCGATTATCTTTCTTAGATATTTCTGCTCCCCTTCTTCATCAGCACAGTAACTTGTTGGTTCTCCTGGCATTTTGTGCAGTTCTGTCATGTTGAAACAATCCACTTCAAAATTTGTACCAAATAGAAAACAGGGACTGTTTTTTGTCGAAGGTCTCTCTAAGGCAAGCATCAACTGGTTTGTTTGGTGACTTGGAACACCCCGCTCTAACTCATTGATGGCTAGGATCAAGTCCTCGTCACTCTGACGAATTACTGTTTTAAGTGTTATGATGTGTGTGATCGTCTTTGTCCATACATCTGAAGTAAACGCATGATCTCCAGGATCCCTGTATAAGTCATTTGGGACGGGTGGTAATTGGAAGAAATCACCCACACACACAACCTATGAATAATTGGGAATTTTAAAAAAATATTTTAAGAACAGAATATTATTGTATATTTATCTTCTTTTCTGCAAAATGCCATGATTCTCACAAACTAGACTTGTATTACACATATTAAAATCATAGGCTATCTAGTGTTTTATGACAATAATCACCTTTTACCGGTATTTACATGTTTATTAGTTTGCCTATCATTTACCATTATCCTTTATAATATATGGAACCTATTTTCTAGGTTTAATCAACAGCAATATCTAAAGCTATGCAATTTCTAGTGCATTGATGATTCAAATTACTAACCTGCAATCCACCAAAATATAGACTGGGCTCTCTAACTGATCTGCAGATGAATTCTAGCTAAATAAAGAAAATAGACGATTATGTATAGTGAGCGGGGAATAACTAAGATTTACAGTAAGATTGGAAAGAGCTATTGCTGCACTGCATCGTTCAATATACTTTGAAATCGATATGCATTTTACAAATAATGATATAAACAACCGCTTGGCAGTAAGTGAGTAACATACATGTACATGTACAGTAATCAGGCAATGGGCCTTATATAATCAGGTACAGTCCAAAGACTATTTCTACCTCTGTAGCTATTAATAGCTATGTAGGTATTTCAACAAATGAGATAACTCTAAGGAATGTGAAATTCGTCTATTAGGCCTACCTACTTTATTATTTATTTGTAAACAGTACCTCCTCAACATAAACAAATGTGCATTTAATTTCACACGGATGTCGGTGCAAACATTCTCAGTATAAAACTAGATTATTCCAAGAGCTCTCTTAAATTTTGTAAGGTTATCTAAGCGATAGACATGGCCTAGTAACTCAGATATCAGATGTATTTACTTTTCTCCCGTAAACCGGAAATACTGTCTGCTACGTAAAAACAAAATCGGAACGGCTCTATAACGTTAATATTTGTGATAGTTACCCATGGTAATGCTTATATAATTGCACTTTATAAGAAAATACACAGGGTAATATTTATGGCAACATTCTCATTTTCTCAAACAAAATTATACACACCTTCTCAAAAATTTTCCTACTGATCATAGATATTTCATCTATGACTAGCAAGTCGCATTTCTGAATTCTGCTCTTGGTTTCTTCACTGAGGATTTTTAATAAGTGCTGGTTTTCAAACCTTCCATCTCCTAGCCCTGCCCAGTGGTGAATAGTTGTGGCGCCTTGGAATTGTGGGGCCCCAAACCCGTGCTAGCGGTTACGGATGCACGTTTGTCTTTAATTCTTTTAAGCATTTCCTTTATTAGATATGACTTTCCCGTCCCCGCCTGCCCCAAAATTACACAACTATGTCCACTTTCAATTAAATTCAATGCCCTCGACTGTTCTTTGGTAAGCATGGTGCTTTTCCCGCAAAGCTTCTATTCTGTTTCAATATGTTAACCAATCAGATTAATGCAGGGAATTCCCATTAACATAAAGATGTAAACTTCCGCCCCCCTTTGGCGATTTGTCGCATATCTGAAGCAGTAGATAGAAAACGAGGAGAGATTTTAATTAATTGCAAACGAAATGTGCTGATTTGGTTGAATAGGTCGTAAGTATAGATGTTGAAGGACCTGCCGCTACACGGAGAGGATCGCAAAATTATCTTGTCATTCCGTTTCGAGCGAAAAATCGTGCTGATGTGGCTGGCCTAGAAAAATTCAAGATGGCGCCTTGGGTACCTGGTTTATTATAAGGTAAGGGTATAATTTTTTTTATTAAAAGAAAAATAAGTAACGTCAGGTGCCTGTGGGTAGTGGCACTATATTGATTATTGCTGAATATTACTGATCAGTCGAAATGCATTTTTGTTCCCCTACTCTGTCTGTGGGTATTAAGTAACCAAACTAAACATGCTAAGTGTATAGTTATGATGTCTTTTTCAAAATTGTGAATGCCATGGTGTCTAGTTTAAAACATGAACCAATGTCAATCATTGTAAAGTTGTTGCATGATGCTCAGGTGACCTATAAGGCCCATGGGCCTCTTTTTTTTCATTTATTCACAAGATAATTTTGCCCTGCGGAGACCAGCATGGCAGGAACACGGTTATCCAGGTCATTCTTCAGACTGGGGAGCCTCTAAGGCAGTAGATGGGAAGTATTCTAACCGCTCAGTATGGGGAAACCAATGCACATTATCGGCAAACGATCAAGTGAGGGCAAAATGGTATGTAGATCTAGGGAGGATAGTCAGCATCAGTCACATCCACATCTACTACAGGACTGGTAATAAACCTAGTAAGTGTGATACATGTACTTGTTAGCTATTGTTACTTGAGAATCGGACATAATGTTGGTTTTTCTTTATGTTTAGGGGGCTTTTTTTCTTTAGCGTAAGAAAAAAAATGCAAAGGTTCATTTTATTCAAAGTTGGTAACAATAATGCTGCGCTTTTTTTTCTTGAAATTGTAATTTGTATTTTAAATAACGTTCTATTTTAATGGCATGCCAAAATTGATGCGACTTTTCCTTGACATCATAGTTGTTTACAAGAAAGAAGCAATAGCATTCTTATCGAACATTTCAATCTATATAGGCCCTGGTGCATTCTACAGTCGATTTGCTGGTTTTTTCGTCTACATTTCAAATGATACTTCCAAAGACAACGGTATTGAATGTTTTCATGAAATAAAGAAAAATAACGGTACACCCACAGAAAACCAAACTATAAGTTGTCCATTTGACGGACGTTATGTGATATACTACAACGAGAGGAGAGCTGGCTATCACTATCCAGACTACTACTCCGCATTTGCTTTTAATGAATTGTGTGAATTTGAAGTTTATGGTGAGTTTTCTTTTTCTGTTTCTGTTATACATGTAGATATACAACATGGATGTTTATAAAAGAAATAAACAATGATAACAGTGATATTATCTTTTTGGAACAGGATGTCCTAATTCTACATACTATGGAAAATATTGCGAACAATCGTGTTCGGACAGTTGTCTTGGACAGAGGTGTAATTTCTTAACAGGGAACTGTCTCATGGGATGTTCAAGTGGATATGAGGGGCCTCAATGTAGACAGAGTAAGTGGTGAATTAATATGCAGGTTTATTTTTGTGTAGGTAATAAATATATTACGTTTTAAGCAAAAACAGATGCAAAACTCTAGTGAAAGTTAGTACAAGTTATTTACTAATTTATTTGTTAACAATTTTTATTAGAACCTTTCCGAAATAAATGTAATGAAATATATGACACAGAGAGGAAATATATACATGTGTACATTGTGTTTGTCTATTTCTTTTAACTTTCTGCATCGCATGTATTTGTTCTGATAAGTTGTGTTATACATGTATACATTGTACACCATAGTAAATAACTAACTCAGAGAGCGATATTTTTTTTCTTAAACGCGGATCTTATATGTACAATACAATTAATCATTCTATAATTATCAAAAAGAATGTGACGGTGGAATGTTTGGAGCAACCTGCAGTCAAAAATGTGGTCATTGTTATGGTAATACACAGTGTCATCATATCAACGGCACATGTCAAGCAGGATGTTCTGCCGGATATGTTGGATCTCTTTGCAACAATAGTAAGAAAAACTATATCGTCAACGTCTAATAAAGATCAGTGTCAAGTTTTTTCTCAATCACGTAAATATTGTGTTAATGGCATTGCATGAAACGCCAACTAAAATGGTAAACACATTTGGCATATTTGATTTTCTGGGAATAGACATTGACAGTTGACATACAGATGTATAGAAAAAAACAAAAATCATTCCAATTAGCTTTTTATATGAGATTTACTAAATACTGGATACTTTTTGGTAGAATTTTGGGGTGGAACCTACGGATTGATGTGTAACAAAACTTGTAAACTCTGTTCTGATGGATCAAAATGTCACCATGTGAATGGTTCATGCGTGAATGAATGTTCTTCAGGATATAAAAGTCCTTTCTGTATCACAGGTAACTGATTGACAGCGTTTTCAGATACATATATTTTGTTGCATTATCACACCAACTAATGATTTCATTCCTCTTTTAAGAATAAAGAGTGAATACATGAACGTATGATTATTTTTCTTGCATTTATCAAAAGTACTTATATATACGTGTTTACTCATTAATAATTTTTTAGACGTGCTTAGGATTTGATCATAAAAATATCATATATTTTAAGAATGTGACAGTGGATTGTTTGGCGATGGTTGCAGGCAGACTTGCGGTCATTGTGTTGGTAACGTAGCGTGTCATCATATCAATGGTTCCTGTCTACAAGGATGTTCTGCCGGATACGAGGGTCCTGTTTGTAAGAAAAGTAAGAACTAGGAATATTTGGTACACTTGCTTAAAATATAAACATTGGACCAACTTTAAAATAATGTATGCTTAGCCTCTCTAGACTTGATGGTAAAATATTTCGTCGTTAGGTGGGGGAAAATCTTTTTTTCCCGAACATATTTGTTGACGGAATATGATACAATGTACATATATAAAAAAAGAACATGAAAAGTTAATCCATTTTTAGTCATCGATGTGGATTGAAATATGTTTACTTAAGTTTGAAATGATGCAAATAAAGCAGACAGAATATTTTTTTTAATTGAATTTTTTTTTATGATGTTTGAATTGATGTGATTTATATATATACTTTCTTTAATATACTTATTTATTAATAACTTCACTTGATGAAATGAAAAAAAGGGCTTTCTGTTGAAAGTGTGCCATATTTCAACCGAGTTAAATGTCTTGATTAAACACCTTCAAGTTGTTTTAACCTCCAGGTATATATTTAAAATTAATTTTTGTTACCTTGTCCAATTATTAACTATTTCAGCTTCAAATTTGCGTTTAAGAGTAAAAAAGACTCCCCTACATATCTTAATGTTTTTGATTTTTCCTGAGCCAGGAAAGGACAAGTTTACATTTAAAAAAATACATGATTTGTATTGTTTTTATTTACAGAATGTGACGGTGGGAGATATGGTTTGAACTGTGCCAAGAGCTGTGGTCACTGTCGTGACGGCTCACAGTGTCATCATATCAATGGAACGTGCTTGACAGGCTGTTCTCCCGGATACAACGGATTACTCTGCATTAGTGGTTATTTATATTAATTAAACTTTATTTCTTATTAAAAACGAAAATCAGCCATGAGCACTTTATACACTATAACATGTTCCAAAGCAAATCAAAAGTAAAATGTCAATATTATTTGAATTTTAATGTTCTTTCTGTACCTAAATCCTGCAAAGATGAATAATTGAATATGTATCTAAAAGTAGCAACACACAAAGCCCTACAAAACTACTCTATACTTAATATATATTATACACAGCGAAAGAAATCAAGAGATCTAAAATGTAATTTTATAATGAATTTCCTGATTTATATTACTTAGAATGTAATGGTGGGACCTATGGTAATAACTGCAGTGAAAGCTGTGGAAATTGTCTACAGGGTACACAGTGCCACCATGTTAATGGTACCTGTTTACAAGGGTGTTCAACTGGATACAAAGGATTGGTTTGTACACAGCGTAAGAAACCTTTTTCATGCTTTAAATTTAGATTCTTTTATTTTTCTTTATTCTTTTCAACTCTTAGCAGATTACCTTATTTCGTTTCCTTTTTGAAATGTTGATTTTTTATTTACGACTATATGATCAAAGAATAGGGATCATATCATATCGTGCCTGACAGGATGTTCTCCCGGATACAACGGATTACTCTGCATTAGTGGTGATTTATATTAATTAAACTTTATTTTGTCTAATTAAACGCTCAGAGCAGGCATGATCAATGAACAACAAGATCAAAAGTAAATCAAGAGTAAAATGTCAACGTCATCGTGTATTTTGTTCATTAAAAAAGTCAACAGTAATTTAAATGCATTTTTTTGTATTATGTTTTTAAATAATTCCTGCAAAGATAAACCCTAAAGTAGTAATTTTACAAACTATTTTTAAAGAACTTACATGTTTCTTAAAATCTGCCAGTATTAAACTTCAAATTCAGCCCTTTAAAAATATCTATACTTATTATTTAAACACAGGTAAAAAATATCAAAAGATCTTATATGATTTCTTATTTTTACTTAATTTGTTTAACTTCAGGGCCGTAACTAGGGGTAAAAGATAGAGGAGGCGGGGTTTGGGTGGCCCATTGGGCCCCCAAAGATGGGGGGTGTGGGTGGCGAAGCCCCCCGCATAAAAAATTGCTTCAAACGGCTCAATTTTGGACCATTTCCTTGATTTTGAGAATGCTTACCACTTTATTATATTACCTATTTATGTACTATTTTGGATAGATATATAAATAATGGAGACGTTTTCATTATGCGATATAAATGAAAAACTTGAGGGGACGTAAAACAAACAATAACCAACCAACTAACGTTAACTCACAATACTCATCTGATGCTTCAATTGAATTTTAACTTCTGAATGTAAATATAAACAATGATAAATACGAAACTGACTTTTCCCAAGAAAAAGATAAAATTATTTAAGTCAATAGAGGTATCTGGGAAGAACGTACCCGTCGATTCATTCTGAATAGTTTTCACTGTACTAAATGCAGTTCTACAATGATCGATCGCCGTAGTTCGAATTTCGCTATGGGACATGGGGACTGGTCCTTCGGATGAGACCGCATAAAGTTAACCGAAGCCCCGTGTCACAGCTGTGGGGGTAAAAATCCCCCCCCTGCTCAATGGCCCTGAACGCCGAGCATAGGTAATGGTGACACTCACTGGATAGCTGAAAAATTGCTCAGGTGGCTATAAACAAACAAATAAATGATCAATCTTGATCCAGCTGCTTGTGTTGTGTTTCTTATTTCCAAAAAAAAAAATGAAAATCTAGAGGAGGCAATTGCCTCCGTTGCCTAATGTAGTTACGGCCCTGCACTTAGAATGTAGTGGTGGAATGTACGGTGTGAACTGCAGTCAAAGCTGTGGAAATTGTCTTAATGATACACAGTGCCACCATGTTAATGGTATCTGTTTACAAGGGTATAATTTGTAAAGGATATGAGACAGAAGAATATTTAGCAATAACAAAAGCATGTAACACTTTAAAAACAAGGTTTTTCACTACTAAACAGTTTCCCTGGCTATTTCCTTTTCTTTAGATATGCTACCATTCATATTCGACAACATGATCAATAGATAGGGATCATGTAGAAATATTTCTTGTTTTGCTTATAAACAGAATTAACTGTAAACTTAAGACAAACATCGAATAGGAAAATAAGAAAAATCGACGTTCCGCGGCGCTTCTTTAAAAGTTTATTAAATTTACTTTTATATTGTTAAATTACTACACAGTATCAACCCAGTTTCACTTATTTATTTTGCTATCGGTAAAATGTTCACATTAAACCAAATCAACTTAAGAAAAACTGTTTTAAAGAATGTGACGGGGGGATGTATGGTAATAACTGTAGTCAAGAGTTGTGGTCGTTGTTTGAATAGTACACATTTTAACTTCTAAAACCATTGCACCAATTTCAACCAAATTTAGCAAAAAGCATTTATGAGTAAAGGGGGAAAAAAAATTGTGAATTTCATGGGCCCTTTCCCCCCAGGGCCTGAGGGGTGGGGCCAAAACCACAAAAATTAAAGCAGTCTTTAAAAACCTTCATTTTTACTCCTGGACATCAAGCAGTCAAACTGTTTGCATGATTGTAATCAGCATTGCGTCTTCTACCAAAATTGTGAAAATTTATTTCCCTGGGATCAGGTGTTCTAGTGCTACGGCGAGGCTAAATGTAAATAGATTATATAGTGAAAATGTATAAATTCTTTAAAAACTTCTTCTCTGCTTCTGGGCATCAAATAAACAAAATAAGTATATAATAAGGCTGCTTCTATCAAAATTGTGAATTTCCTGGCCCTAGGGTCAGGGTTATGAGATGCTAGGGTGGGGCTCTATTGATTAAATAGTGAAATTGCAAAAACTCTTTGAAAATCTTCTTTCTACTCCTAGGCATTAAATAAACTACCTAATAATAGTTATGTTGAAAAGGGCTACCTCTTTCAAATTTGTGAATTTTTGGACCCCTGGGTCTGGTGTAAGGGTGGTGCTATAAGAGTTGTATATAGTAAAATGCATGAATTCTTTAAAAATATTTTCCTTTGCTCCTGGTTCATATGCCAATTACAATTTACATTTTTAAGGCCATTTTTTTTTATTTTAAATTTTTGAATTTTCAGAAAAAAAAATTTAAAAATTTTTTGGTCACCTGAGTAAACTCAGGTGACCTATTGTATCGTTTTCGTCCCTC